GCTGCCTCAGTTCCTTGCTTTATGAAAGGTTCTTCAGCCACGCATCTGTACATCTGCACATCTTTTTTTTATTCTCCGGTACAAGGTACCTCCTCTATTGTCAAACTTGCACAGTGGATTAGCTCTACGAATCAGTGAGAATGGTTGCATCAAGGAGGCTGTTGCCTGAAGAGCTCTCTTATTTCCCTACTGGAGAAGGCAGCAACGTGAGTAGAGGAAGTAGCTGAGGAATATAAAAACACTAAAGATAGTTTCATGACTAAAACATTTGGAAGATACCTTGGAGTATGAATTCTTTTTTTGACACTAGAGTCACTGTGAGTCACAAGCTGCCTGCCTGTACTTTCCTGTGATCTCCTAGGTATCTACACATGGCTGAACGTTCAGTTGCAAAAGAATTAGTCATTCAGACTTCTAGCAGAAACAAATGAGACCTCTAATGTTACAAAAAATAAGTATTTTGAGATGAAACACTCTTGGTTTTAGCATTTATATGGTCAAGATTAAGAACGTTGGTATTTAGGATGAAAAATTGCTCACGGCATTTTCCAATTCATAATAAACTCTTTTTATGTTAACCAGTTTTGCTCACAGTAGGTAAATTCAGTAGAAAAATTAACAATTCTCAGACTGAATCTAGAGGTGTCCTATAAATCAAAGAATACATGATGAGTAGAAGAAAAATAACATACTGGTTAAACAGCTATTAAGCTTCCTCTAACCTCGTGTTCTAAGAAATGTAGACATCCTGGTTAAAATACTATATGGTGATGTAGTTAAAAGTTATTTACTAATATGTGTGTATAAGTAGGCTAATTAAGATTTCATGTGGAACACCGCTTACGATACTACCTTACATCTGAGAGTTTGACAGAGCAGATTTAGTTACCAACTTCCTGTTGGTAACTTTCTGGCTTTAAATCAGTGATCTTTCTAGATTGCCGTCATAATGAGTTTTATATATAATTACCTTCACTTTGCTTTTTTGTTTTGTAGATAACCCAAGCTTCTCCATTTCTCAAAAATAAAACTGCTAACAATAGCAAACTTCATTGTTTTGAGTAGTTAGTCAAGGTAAATATTTTTCCAGTGGGCAGTGTTTGCTGACAACAATTCTGCAACTTTGGAATGAGCTTCCATTCCAGAAGGTGTTTTCTAAACATTACTGACTCTGTTGGTGCTGTCTTGGTTCTGATTTTTCTCTTGTTGTGACTTGGTATTTTTCTTCCTTGATTGCTCAATCCAGAATCTGCATTGATAAATGCAAATTAATAGTAAATGTAAATTAATAGTAAATAATTATCCTACTGTAATATAAAGACTGTTCTATGTTCAGGGTTAATATGGAGAATGAGGAGAATGAGGAGCTTAAAAGCCTGGATTTGGGGCTTATATTGGGCTTAGTTTCAACTTTAAATAGTATTTTGTTTTAGGAGGATTGGCATCTCGGTACTGGCTAATAGTCTAATTGGAGAAAACAGTTGGCTGTTTTCAGTTACAGGCAAATACAATTGCCTGCAGATTGCTCAAATATGAGATGATTATTTACCAAGGATTTTTGCTTACAATAACATATTACTGTATCAAAATTATAATCTTGGCCATGTTTCACTAGGCGTATTTGAAATAGGTTACACCCATCTTTTGGCTACATAAAGCAGGGCTTTAGTTCTTAGAACTGAATTGCATTTGCAGGGATGAGGTAGCCAATTACCCAGCTGCTACATCATCTGTTTAAAGTGACTCCTACCAGTATGTTCATTCATACGTGCTGATTATTGCCCCTTCATAGTCCTGCCACCATAAAATGTTCTGTCATTGCAGACAAGGAGACTTTTCACAGTTGCAGTGTAAGTGTGAAATATTGTCTTGCATAGCACTTAAAATGAAGTATTTCCTCCAAAGATCATGTCTTAATGATGAAATACGTACTGGTTTGTTTAAAGATGATAGTACAATGCTAGATTATTACAAAGACTAATAAAATAGTGTTTTGATATATTACTTAAAATTTATTCTGGTAGGGAGAAAAATGTAATTTTTTTTTTCTGGTAAAGGCTTAGTATAAAAAGTACAAGCTCTAATGTAGTAAGAGTTGAGCAGAAAGGTCTAAGACAGTGTCCTGTTCTCTATGCATGGGGAAAACAGCTGCTTAGCAAGGACAATGCACATTGACATCTCTCCAGGATGCTCTCGGATGCCACAAGTGGCATCATTGCATTTCATAGGCCTAGGGATTTTTATTTTTTTTCTTTCATGAATGCTTAATATTGGTGGGTTTTTTTGGAAACTCTGTATAAACTTTGCTCATCTTTTCCATTGTCCAGAAGCTCTTGACTATAGGCAGAGTACTTAATACAGCATCATAATAACAATGTAGATTTGTTTCCCTGAAGTTTTCAGGACATAATATAATTGTCCGTATACTATCTCTATAGTTGGTGAAGAGTATGCAGAATGCTATCAGACTTCTACATGTGTGTTTTTGCTCTGATATTAAGCAACTGTTGCTGCCGTATGTTATATCTTCTGCCACTTTTGCTATGCAGAATTTCAGAGTGGCTGATCAAAGACACTGGTTTACTCTATAAAGAATATTTTTAAATAAATTATGTATCTGGGTTGATGATTTGTCACAGCTGAGACAGCAGTGTTTGAAAAAGAACAGCAGTATTAAGTTTGATAGAAAGGGTGATGGGCTTTTAACTACAAATGTACTGCCAAGCTGTGTGGCAATGATTGCTCTGCATAATACATTTTTTAAACTAATTTACAGATAGCTTAATTTAGTCTGTTTGTTGTCAGGCTTTATCATTTGTCAGAAGTTTGGGTTATTCTACTTTTCCTTACTCTGTAATTCTTGACCTACTTGTCTGTTATAAAAAATCAAAATAGTTGTTCTCCACTGTAGATGTTATCTAGCTATGCAAACTAAAACACTGTTTTTGCATAAGAACATTTTCCAAGTAACTTATTCTATTTGAATTTTCATCTGAGTTTCCAATTAGTGTAGGAAGACTTAACAATGTAAATGTTATGATAAGCAGAGGGGTGTTTTAAAAGGCAGTAAAATATAAGCTGAATGAGGAACCTTGATATTAAACGATGTGCTAGCAAAAGTGCCTTTTAATTTACTAGTTAAAAGAGAGAATTCAAACTGGTAATTTTTGATTTATTTTTCCCTTCCGTAAAAAGAATGGAAAGTTGTGATTTGACCTCATTTATTTTCTAGGCTTCAAATTAAGCTTCCAATTTTTAATTTAATCTAATTTCCTTCAAAGCTGCTGAATAAACTGCTTTGATTAAACACTTCTTTTATAATTAGATACATTTAAATTTGATTTCTGCAAGTTATTGCAGATGTAATTTTTTACCTTGAAGTTCCTTGTTCATACCTTCTATGAAATAAAGCATTTTAGCTGTATCATTTCTTGCACTGAACTGGTGAACATTATTCTTAAGATGAAACCTATTTTCAGTTAATCTGTTGTGATACAGCTGTGGAAAGATAATTCTACTATGGATATTCTTGTATATGACAAATACTTGTATGCAAATATACAAGTAATATTATATCCTATTTATATTTTCATTTTGAACCAACAAAGCTCTAAGTCCAGTCAAGAAATTAATTTTTAATGCAACTCACTTTGGCCCTGTAATGGCATGTGCTTGATTTATGATGCTCTGGCGCGGCCTTGTCAGACGCAGTTTTGACTTGGTTTATTCCTCTTTATATGTTTGCAGTCTCTCCTCTTGTTTATAGTTTGATGACAAAAGGTCACTGTTGGCACTTTGTATCCTTGTTCGGTGGGGACGTGTTGTTTTTTTTTGAAAACTTTGCTGCCTTTCTGCCTAGAGGCTTTGCCTAAATTTACTCCGGGCTTATGTCTGCTTACATATGTTTGCAACCCTTTCCTAAGTGCACTAATGACATACAAGTGAAACAGAACGGAAATGCCGAGCATTTGATATGGAGAAGGAATGCAGAGCGGTTGCTTTTTATTTTCTTTAGCTTGTCCAGTACTGAGTACTGACCAGTAATTTCTAGAAAATGAATGAAATGTTTGTTTGGTGTTCCCTTTTTGTAATTAGAAATTTGGAATCTTTTTACAAGGGGTACCTCTAAGGGTCAGCATTGTATTGTTCTGGAGAGGGCTTTTGGTTATGGTTTTGTCCAGTGTCAAGCAGACCATATTATATGAACACATTACCTTGTCCATTTCTAAAATTTTATTGGTGTTTTATGGCATTTTAAACTAGTTTTAAACATTTTTCTTTCTGTTTTAATATGCAATATGTGGTCTCTTGGTGAATTAAACTTACATATTATAAGAACGTAACTTTCAGAATGGCTACTTGGGAGTAACTGCAAAATTGTTCATTTTGCTCCACTTTCTTTACAGTCCTAACTACATGCTGTTGCATTTCTAAGACGCGCCTTGTTGAAATATCTAGCATTAAATAAGAAGCAAACTTAACTTAGGCTTTAACTTGGAGCTGGTTCAGAGAAGATGAAGTAAAAAACAAACATATCTGAAAATCCAAAGTGCTTGATGGCTCTTTTTTCTTTCTCATGAAAAACGCTTTGCGACACAAGGAAGCTGTGTGCTACCTTCTACGAGCAGCATAGCGATGGCTGGCATCTTTATCCGTCACGATAGTGAAGCAGTAATGTAGTAATTACCCCGGTAATAAGTGGTTACGTGTTAAAAGCTTTCTGACAACCTGATGTATGACTCGGGCAGTGCCTGGCTTGGGATTGCTGCTGAAGCAGCTTACCTCTGACTAAATGCGCCAGCCGGCACGAAGGCGAGACACAGGCCCTAGGGAAACCTGCAGTCTGCCGCTTCCTGCGGCAGTCGCCTTCGGCCGGCTGCGAAGTAGAGGGGCTATTGAGAACGCCTTATTTTCAGAAGCATTAAATATTCTCCTCACAGAGCTTACTGAGTAGGAGCTGTAGCTAAAAATAACTGCAATGAATTTCTCTGTCCCTTTCTCTCTTTTTCTCACTGCAGGATGACGTAGCTTTGTGAAGGATTTATCAGCTAAGCAGAAAATGAGCTTAACATCCTGGTTTCTAGTGAGCAGTGGAGGCACCCGCCATAGGCTGCCACGAGAGATGATTTTTGTTGGAAGAGATGACTGTGAGCTGATGTTACAGGTAATTGCATCAGCCTTCCATGGCAACTCTTAATGTTTTGGACTTAAATTAAATTTGCCAGATGCTACAGACCAATAGTTTTGATTAATCTTTTGTAGGAAAAAGGTTAGTTTAAATGTACTGCCATTAACCATACAATTACTGTCAGAATGTAAAAAAAATCACGTTTCCTTCATGTAAAATTCACACTGAAAATAATGCAAGAATAGAAATGATTTTTGCAGTATGGTCAGAAAAGTAGGCTGTGTTGCATAATATGTGATAATGCTGAATGTACTAAATGCTTTTGAAGATAGCTTTCTTTTTTTTCCCTGTAATTTATAATCTAATTTAATTACATAATTTGACATATCTCTGTGTCCCCATATCCTGATCTCCCTGCACAGACAAATGAAATTTGTAAAGAAGAGTATTTCTGCATCTCTAAGGGGAAGTTGAATGACTCAGTAATGGTCTCAGGGGATTGTAAAAATAAAGCAAGTCCTATTTGAAAGAGCTTGATATTTGGTAGCTTATTCAACTTTCAAGATCCCTGTGTGGAATTTCTCAAAGCACATAATTATGTTGCTATGTAGCCATATTGGCTTCCTTCAGTTTTGGCAAAACTTAAGTGTGTATGCACTTGGTGTTATCAAAATCTTTGCCCTAGAGTTATAGTCAGAATCTTTCCTCCAAATGAAATGCCTAGAAACCTATTCTGATGAAACCTATTTTGATGTGTATAACTCATAATCTCCTCTAAAATTCAGTTGACTCTCATCCTCATCAGACATCCAAAAGGTTTACTTTATCTGGAAATACTTTGTCCTGTTAGGAAGTGGGTATAAATACTCTTAATATCCTTTTTACAGCAGGCTAGAATGATGTCTTGTTGATTTATGAGGGGAATGAACAAATCAAAAAACAAACTGATTCCTAAGCACTAGGAGGTCCTACTCATCTGCTTTGGTATTCTTTGCCATTAGCTTGGTGTAATGTGGTGTCCATAAAAGAGGAAGCTTTTTTCCTTCTGCTCTCTCCCATGTGACATTGCTGTCGTGCTTTTTATTCTGTAATATGCTGGCTTAGGATGTGAGACTGATAGTGAATTTCCGTTTTGGGGGGAGAGGAGAAGGGTTGATCCTTTACAACTGATGTGCACGCACTTTGTTTAGAAGTTGGAGGAAAAAATAAAAGGAGCGAGAGACGTTGGAAAGGTTTGTTTGTTTTTAATTAAGATGCTTATAGTCCTCAAGTAATTTTTCCTAATTAGATATGCAGGGAAAATTGATTCTCACCTCCCCTCTACAACAATAAATCTGTCATTCCTTGTTTAATCTCTGCAGCTCTGCATGCCAGGGAGAACAGCAGAGTTGCAACTTCTTAGAATGTGACTGATTATCTTCAAGCTTTGTATTAAAATCCATGCATGTGTCTTTTCACGAGGTGATTTTAATGCATAATGATAACTATAAAATTTTTAAGTTAATTGCTAGAGCTACTTTTGCTCTATACTTAAGAAGCCAGTTCTCTATGAAATTGGATCTATAGATATTGTTTTCTAAAAGTCAAACTTATTTCTTAAAGACGCTGATTTCTCAGCCTCTGTAGCATATCTATTAATTGTTTTTTGTTGTTGTTGTTGTTGATCTACTGTTTCTGTGTTCCTATCTCTCCTGCAGCACAATACTTCTATCATACTTTTAAACAATGAACAGTGACTTGATAGGCTGCCTGCTAGTGCCAGCCCAACCTTGGATGCATTAAAGTTTCCTTTCAACAAAATCATAAATAAACAGTACTTTGTACCTGATATACATTGCAGCAGAGTCTTACTTAGCTGAGGAGAAAACATTCTGTCAGATATTTACGTGGCTTCCTGAATGGATAACTATATCTTAATTAATGACCTGAGTTTTGTCCAACATGGTTGTCTACCTTGTCTTACCAAAGTGGAAGATTTGAAACAGTCATAATGGAAGTTTTGAAATAGCACAAAAAGCTTTTAAGCTTTTATTATATATATATATATATATATATATGTAAATGTTTTCATGTAGATCATATTCCTTGCCAAATATCTTTTACCTTAGATTTTATCATAGCTAATGTATTTGCCTTAGTTTTTTTCCTTGAGCTATATAAACACATATGACTTGTTTTTCAGTTGTCTCATTAATAAACTAGGCTTTAATGGTCAGTGTCTGTGGTTGATCAGTCTTCAGTGAAGCTTAATACTTGACGCATTTACTGTTCAGTGTTGCTATACTTCGTTCATCATCACCTTCAAAAGTGGCTGCCTCTTTAATTAGCATTTTGAAAAGGTACTTTGTTGTTAATTGACTTCAGAGATGGTATGAAGAGTCAAGGGCCCTCGTGGCTTTTGAGGCATGTTCTATTTGGCCTGTGTTAGGCCTGCATTCCAGCATGGCTATAACATCACATACAGCTGAAGAGAGAGAAGCCTGCCAAAGGAAAAGCTGATAATGCGTCCTTGTTCTGTGTGTGTAGTGTTCTTTGTGGGGGACCTTCCACTCCACTCTTGACAATTTGGTTGTTCTCTTAGCACAGAGCTTGTGGACAGCACATGATGAAGGAAGTGGAAAACTCGTATGCCTTCTGTCAAGGCATTGTGCATTTTTTAAAAGTGTCATATTAAAAAAAAGACATTTGCACCAGTGTGTTTCATAGAACTATATACTTCCGCTGTGCACCTAACCATTAGTATTTTAATAGTAGTTTTGTTCAAGTCCAGGGAATACAGATTTGCTTTTAACTCGGTTGTTTTGTAAATATGCTCCAACAAAGCACACAGTCTTCATGTTTAGCTAGCTACTAGCTGTTACAGCCATGTGTAGCTTTTGCTTATGGATGCATACTACTCTTTTACTTTCTTCCACTGCTCCATTTAGAAAACTTTTTGAATCTTGTGGAGCCATCTCTGAAGTGAAATAATCCACATATTAACAATACCCAAAATTCAGAGAGGAAGAGAGAATACTCTGTTTTTACCATTTTGATCATTTTTAGTAGTAGACTGGATTAGATTGAGGGTCTTCGTCTGGTGTAATGCCAGCTACAAATTGATTTTAACTGAAGATTGAGTTTTCCCCTTGATATTGGTACAGCTCTTAGCACAGCTATTCTGCAATTTTAATTATTCATGCAGTCAATTATGCATCTTGTAAAGGGTAATTTTGGTAGTACTCATTTTGAATTGAAGGCTGCAATAACCCATCAGAAGGAGAAATGCCATTTCAAAGATGTGCTCAATATTTAGACTTGTGAAGACCATATGTGATGAATAAAAATTTGCCAACTGTATGCGAATATTCTAAGCCTGATACATCTGCAGACAGGAGACCTATAGTGTTCTTCAAAATTTCAGATGATATTTTTAAAATTGCAAACATGAGTAATCATTTTTGTCTTTTCAGAAGATGTGATAAAATACAGGCATTAGGTTTTATTTTTTGTCATTCCCATTTTAACTTGTTTTTAACAGGAAAAGGCATGTGAATATAAAATATTTGATGACTAAATTAATACATATTTGAATAGCATAACATATTTGAAAAATGTTCGGAAATTCTTCTCATGATCTAGGTGTAAAGGTAGGCTAACCCTTGTGCTTGCACAGTTGCATTACTCAAATGGGAAAGTGTTTGATGTCTATTTGACATTGTAGGCTCAAAAGAGCGCCCAAATCAGCAACTCTGATTTTATTATGATAGGTTGTTTTCACTTGAGGAAGCTTATTAAATGAGCTTTGCTGGTATATCAACATCCACAGTTAAACTTTACTGATATGCTGTACTAGGATAGCTTTTAATGACATAGAGCTTGTTCACTTGTCTGTCTTTTCCTCAGTTTCTGTCCCTGTCACCATATTCTCCTTCTTCACCCTATGCCCTTCAAGACTGTGCAGCGTATTACCTGAAATAAGAAGTCTAGCAATAATGTAGTAAGTGTGAGCAGAAGAGGATTCATTTTACTTCTTTAAGAAAAAAAGAGAGAAGGAGTCAGAAGATGTTATAGTGGGGAAGATTAAGGAAGGAAACTAAACAGGAGGAGGAGGAGAACAGTATGTGCAAGTCTCAAGAGATCAAGATGGAATGAGATGATTAAAGTGGGTTCTGGGTTGGCAGGATAACCTGCATACAGAAGGATGCAAACGTGAAGGTTATGCTAATAGTAACAAGCAGGTTCTGTGCGTTCCGTCACTGAAAATACATGGCAAAGAGCTTTTCACAACTAAGTGTGGGGGAAGAGGAACAGGAGAAATGGTGTATTTGCCTCCCTAAGAGTTGGAGTTGCATGGTCTGATGCCTTGAACTGCCTAGTGCCAGTCTGTAACCTGGGGCTCTTTGAACAGCCAGGTTGCGCGTGCTGGTGCAGAAAGGAGGAGTGCAGGGTCCCAGGCAGAAATTGGTTCCTCTCAGGGCTGTACACCTGGGACCCACTTTGGAACCATCCTGAGTTGGGAATGATGACTTGCGTAGCAAAAATAAAAAGCTGTTTGATGAAGGACTGACGAAAGAAAAAGTGAGAGCTGATGGGAATAGTAATGCAGGGAACAGTCAAGCATTTAGTGATAATGATATAGCTGATTTGCTCAGGAGGTTGAGATGAACAATTTATTTCCATGAATGTATGCTGAGAATCCCACTAAACAACCTGGAAGATTTGCTAATGCATGTCAGGAAGCCAGTTATTTCGGAGAACAACAGAACAATGGAATAGTATTCATATTTTGAAAGGTGCATGTAGTTAAGGAAAGCTAGAAGTAAAGGTGAAATCGATGTTGAATAAAATGCCAGTGGTATTACAGCCAGCTGAAAAAAAAAGGGTAACATTCAGTGAAATTAAAAAATTTAGTTGTAAAATTAAGTCACTAGACTTAATTTATAATTAGATTTGGGGAAGCATTAAGAAAATAATTCATCTGAACTAATCTGATGATTCTGTTATGGGCATAGAAGACCAGAAGTGGCTAGAGGGGGGGGGGTTTTTTTTTTTTTTTTTTTTTTCTCCATACATGGGTTAATTTTTGGATACAGTTTGAAAAATGTGTTATGAGGAAAACGTATAGTCATATTACTGTAAGAAATATAATCTTGGACAATATCTTAACAGTTTTTGAAATTTTTATCTTATTTTGCACTGATTTTAATCTCTTAATTCTAGTCACGAAGTGTGGACAAGCAACATGCTGTACTTAACTATGATGCCTCTACAGATGAACACTTGGTGAAGGATTTGGGCAGCTTAAACGGGGTAAGTTTACAACAGTACAAGGTAGCTCCGCATAGTCTTTTCTTTTTTCTTTAGTTTTCTTTGAGCAAGAGCAGAGTGATTTTTAATTAGTTTTCATTAATGTCTTTTCAACTTGGGTGTTACAGCTGGGAGGACATTTAAAGGAAAACGTGGGTTCTTGAAGTTTTTCCACTGATCATTAATTAAAGGGTTGGCTTAAAAGGTTTGTTAATAAGTGAAGGCTTGGCAATAGAAAAATCTCAGAGAAATAAAAAGTCTTTCAGAGATGTGGAAACAAAAAGAAGCCTTGAGTAAATGATAGTATGATAACAGATGATATTTTGGTATTTCAATATCTAAAATTTGGTAGTGGGAGGAGTATAACAAGGTAAGAAAATGGATTTTTATTTTTTATGCTATTCATTTTC